CAGTAGTAACTCTTACATTAGTAATAGCAGCTACTGGTATCTGCAGTATAGAAGCATTAATGATACATTAATAGTGGCAATGTTACCTGGAGTTGTTGAGCTAGTATCATTCTCATTGTGTCCTCTACTGTAGCAATGTTAGTATCAACAGTAAAATTGGAGTTGAATACATTGCTGGTCAGTATATTCTATGGAGTATTAATGAGATTGCAATGATGATAATGTTGATTATTATACCTGTATTCTATTGTTTAATAAATCCCTGGGAACTTGTGGTAATTCTGTTAAAATATAATAAAATAATAATAAAGAGACTAATGGTTGTGTATTACCACAAGTATAAGCCATTTGATGGTTAGGACTGATATAGTGTAGGATAGATGGGAGAGAATGAGCATAAAGACACACCAAATTATCACTGCAATCTCCATCAACTCTACAATTCTACAAGTTCATTAATATTTGTTAATTAATAGTGAGTACTCTTACTTTAGATTGCATGCATTGAGTGCAGTACATTCCACCACAATCAGTGTCCGTTTCATGATTGCTCAACACACCATCAAAACAAGTAGACTCTGGAGATTATTAAAACATACTGCCACTGGTTTCATCATCATTACCTTGCACTGTTAGTGTAGCTTCTAAACTGCTATCAGTTCCACTCTCATTATCAATGACACACTGATAGACTCCATCATCAGTTAGTTCTACATTAGTTATGGTGAGTGATGCATTGTAGAGTGAGGTGTAGACTCTGCTGGTGTAGTTGAGCTCAACTCCATCTTTGATCCAAGTTACTTCAGGGAATGGGGCACCAGTTACTGTACATGTTAAATGGTAGGTTCTGTTTGTTAGGATAGAATCATTTCTTGGACTTTGAGTTACGCTTGGAGCAACTATACATGATAATAATGGAGTCATTCTGTCATGCTGTTTCTTTAACTTACAGCATTGGAAATCACCTAGTCCCAAGTCACGTGTTAAATTATTTGTTGGCCATTGACATCTCAATATGTCATCATCTTTTGGAAATACACCTGCTACAAATGAGTTTCGAAATAGAAAAAGATTGCAATCACATGACAAAGGATTTCCAGCTAAAAATCTGTTGATAATAATAATAATAACAGCAATTAATATCAAAGTATATTAACAGCACTTACATTTGCAGTGAAGGTGAGATTATACCACGCATATGACTCCCATCATTAAAAACCTCATTAGATATTGTCTGTAACTGGTTATATGTTAATGATATTAAGTCAATGTTAGGTATACGAGTAAACAGTCTATCTGGTAGTGAGGTTATTGCTGACTCATCAATATATCTGTAGTAAGAGACCTATAGTCCGGTATATTGGTAGCACAGGAACTTACATTTCATCAATTGAAGTTAATCCAGTGAACATGTCAGATCTTATTGCAGTCAGATTTGTTCTTTTCATTGACCTGGTGGCTTGATGAACTATAATTCATTATCATCACTGAACTCACAGAATCCTGAGGTTAGTCAAGTGTTCAAAAGCATTGTCTTCTATCTCAGTAAGTGGAGTACCATCTAAAAACCTAATGAAGTAGCAACACATTAACACTGCAAGACTTTATGGAAGCAGATATTCTCTAATGTGAGTGTAATGCTGCTGCACTTACAAGTTTTGAATAGATGAAGTTGTGTTTGCTAGATCAACAGGAAGACTTGAGATGAGAGTATCATTCAAGTGGAGTGTGGTCAAGTTCTTGTAGTATGTGAGGTTACCAGGATACAGAACTGATATTGCATTACCAGTCATTATTCTAAGATAGGACAGTGGTTATGTTCTATTATCATGTTTTGCTAGCTTACATTATCTCTACATCAGTCGGAAGGTCGTTTGGTATAGTGTAGAATGAGAATGCTCCAGTCACTGACGGACTGCAATCACTTCTCTTGAAGAAACTGGAATAAGAGCAAACTGCAGCGCCATCTTGAGAGCTGCCAAGAGAAAGGAAAGAGAGAAATAGAAGAAAAGGAGACAATAACAACATCTTCATTCCACCTTCTTTGAGCTCAGACTGGGTGGGGCTCATTAATAATTACTGATAGGTGTGGCTCCCTGCAATAGAGGGTGTGGCTGACTGCCCACGTGTTAAATGGTGGTCAATCATGTACAGAATATTCCAGAGTATTTCTTCATATCAAAGACTAAACTCCCTCCCTCCCTCCATTTTAAACTGTAGACTAGTTCCTCTATCCACCAGTGGGCCACTGTGTAAGGGACTGCCTCCTAGACCACGCCTACCTGGCTTCGGATACAACACATCCCAAATGGTTA